TACTACTACTACTACTACTATACTATTACTACTACTACTACTACTACTACTACTACTACTGCTACTACTACTACTACGACTACTACTACTACTACGACTACTACTACTGCGACTACTTCAACTCATGCTACTGCTACTACGGCTACTACAACTACGACTACTACTACGACTACTACTACTACTACTACTGCTACTACTAATACTACCACCACTACCACTACTTCTACTACTACTACTACTACTACTACTACTACTACTACTACTATTACTACTGATGCTGCTGCTGCTACTACTACTACTACTACTACTACTACTACTACTACTACTGCTACTACTACTACTACTACTACTACTACCACTACGACTACTACGATTACTACTACTACTAGTGCTACCACTACTACTACAAGTGGTAATACCACGACCACGCTACTACTAGCACTACTGTGCAATCCTCCTCATCCTCCTCGCCATTCTCCTCCTCCTCCTCTTCCTCCTCCTCCTCTGGACGCATCCCCCTCGTCCTCCTCATTCCCCTCTTCCTCCTCCTCATCCTCCTTCTCCTCATCAGCATCATTCTCCTCCGCTTCCTCCTCCTCCTCCTCCTCCTCCGCAGTCGCTCGCTCCTCCTCTTCCTCATCAGCCTCCTCCTCGTCCTCCTCCTCATCATGATCATCAGCATCAGCATCATCATCACCACCATCATCAGCCTATTACCATCATCATCATCATCATCATCATCATCATCATCATCATCAGCATCATCATCATCAGCATCATCATCAGCATCATCAGCATCATCATCACCATCAGCAACGCCATCATCCGCATCAGCATCATCATGATCATGTGCATGAGCATCATCATCGTCATCATCATCATCATCATCATCATCATCATCATCATCATCTTCATCATCATCATCATCATCGTCATAATCAGCATTCGCAGCAGCATCACCATCAGCATCAGCATCATCAGCATCATCAGCATCATAATCATAATCAGCATCAGCATCATCGGCAGCACCATCAAGATCATCATCATCATCATCATCATCAACATCATCATCATCATCATCATCAGCAGCATCATCATCATCATCATCATCATCATCATCATCATCATCATCATCATCATCATCATCATCATCATCATCGCATCATCATCATCAGCAGCAGCACCATCAGCATCATCATCAGCCTCATCATCAGCAGCATCATCATCAGCATCATCAGCATCAGCATCAGCAGCATGTTCATCCGCATCATCGTCCTCATCAGCATCATCATCAGCAGCATCACCAGCATCGTCATAATCATCACCATCGTCATCATAATCAGAATCGGCATCATCGACAGCATCATCAGCAGCAGCATCATAATCCACATATCAATCATATTCATCATAATCATGGTCATCATCAGCAGCATCAGCATCCTCATCGTCATCAGCATCCTCATCATAAGTATCGTCGTCTTCATCGCCATCGTCGTCGCCATCATCATCATCATCATCATCAAACCATCAAACCATCAGAACGATCATCCTCCGCCTCAGCATCATCGCCGTCATCAGCAGCAGCAGCAGCATCATCAGCAGCAGCATCATCAGCAGCATCAGCAGCATCATCATCACTATTAGCCCTCCTCCTCCTCTTTCTGCTCATCCTCCACCTCCTCCTCTTCCTCCTCCTCCATTATCCACCTCCACCTCCACCACCACCACCACCTCCTCATCATCATCCTCTTCCTCCTCTTGCTCCTTTTCCTCCTCCTCCTCCTCCTCCTCCTGCCTCCTCCTCCTCCTCGTCCTCCTCCTTCTCCTCCTCCCCCACGTCCGCCTCCACCTCTACTTCCTCCTCCTCCTCCTCGTCCTCCTCCTCCTCCTCCTCCTCCTCCTCCTCTTCCTCCTCCGCCCCCTCCTCCTCCTCCTTACCCTCCTCCTCCTCCTTACCCTCCTCCTCCTCAATCGTCCTCATCCTCATTCTCCTCTCCCTCCTTCTTGAGGCTGTCATGCGGCACTCGAGTTCAGAAATTGCACATCGGAAAAACAAGCATAAATTAGCATGGCGAATAACCCGACCGTATGCAATTGTGATTATCGTCGTCGTGAGTAGCACCTTCGGTGGATCTCCCAATGGGGACTCGAAGCGAGCGGAGGGTGTGCGGGAGTGTAGCCGAGCCGCCATGCGGGCGCTGCCACTGGGGCCCTCGGGCATCGCGACGGTGGAGCACCCTATGGGGCCACGCAGCGTGAGGGGGTCGCCGAAATTTGGAGTGGAATCGCATGCGGGCGCTGCCACTGGGGCTTTAGGTGGGGCTCCCCATCGGGCCACGCAATGTGTGAGGGGTTCGCCGACATTGATGGGTGGAACCGCAAGCGGGCGCTGCCACTGGGGCCCTCGGTGGAGCCCCCTATGGGGCAACGAACCGTGTGAGCGGTGCACCGAAGTGGCGGGTGGAACAGCATGCGCGCGCTACCACTGGGGCCTTCGGTGGAGCTCCCAATGGGGCCTCGAAGCGTGTGAAAGGTGCACGACGCAATGGAGGTTGGAACTGCATGCGGGCGCTGCCTCTGGGGCCTTCGGTGGAGCTCCCTCCCTACGGGGTCATGAAACGTGTGAAGGGTTGTGCGAAACGGGGGGAACTGCATGCGGGCGCTGCCCCTGGGGCCTTCGGTGGAGCTCCATGTGGGGCCACGACACGCGTGAGGGGTGTGCCGAAATGGAGGGTGGAAGCGCATGCGGCGCTGCCACCGGGGCCTTCGGTGGAGCTCCCTACAGGACCACGAAGCGTGTGAAGGGCGCACCGAAATTGGGGTGGAGCTGCATGCGGGCGCTGTCCATGGGGCCTTCGGTGGAGCTCCCCATAAGCCACGAAACGTGTGAGGGGATACCGAAATGGAGGGTGGAACTGCATGCGGGCGTTGCCACTGGGACCTTCGGTGGGGCTCCCTGTGGGGCCACGAAACGTGTGAGAGATGCACCGACATGTGGGTGGAACTGCATGCGGGCGCTGTCACAGGGGCCTTCGGTGGAGCTCCCTATGTGACAACAAAACGTGTGCGGGGTGTGCCGCAATGGAGGTTGGAACTGCATGCGGGCGCTGCCACTGGGGCCTGCGGTGGAGCTCCCGATAGGGCCACGGAACGTGTGAGTGTGCCGAAATGGGGGGGTCCCCCATGCGGCCGCTGCCCCTGGGGTCTTCGGTGGAGCTCCATATGGGGCCACGAAACACGTGAGGGGTGCATCGACATGGAGTTGGAACCGCATGCGGGCGCTGCCACAAGGGCCTTCGGTGGAACTCCCCATGGGAGCACAAAGCGAGCGAGGGGTGTGCCGAAGTGGACATGCGGAGTGTGCCGAAACAGACACATGTGGAAGGCAGAGGCACGGATGGGAGGAGGGAGGAGCTGGAGGAGGAGAGAAGGGGAGGAACGCGGGCCGGTCTCTCTTCAAAACGAAGACGAAAACCCAAAACCACCGGATGGTTGGGAATAATAAGAATGTCAGTAGTAATAATACGAACAGGAATAGTGCGAATAATAAAAAAAACAACTAATAATACGAGTAATAATAATAAAAATAAGAAGAAGAAGAAGAAGAATCATACTAATAATAATAATAACAATAATAATAATACTAATATTAATACTAATACTAATAATAATAATAATAATAATAACAACAACAACAATAATAATAATCAAGATACTAAAAAATAGAAGCAATAACAATAACAATTAGAAGAAGAGGAAGAAGAATACGCCTAAAAGTTCGGACACGACCTTTACCCGCACGGGGGGTGGGGGGCGGTGTCCTGCGGCAGGGAGGGGGGGGGAACGGGGGGGCGCGGCGTGAAAATCGAATGGTCGGGGCGGAAGGAGCACTGGGGCGCAGAGGGCACCGGGCTGCCGGGGAACACCCGGGCGCTGGGGGCACGGGGCTGCTTGGGAACGCATTGCGGGGGGGGGGGGGCGGCAGGATGGGGAGGCGCGGCGCGGGAAAAAAAACTGTCGGAGCGGAGGGGCGGTGGGCTGCTGTCAGTGAGGGGAAGGGGCGGGGGCGGCATTCCGCGGGGAGGGGCGAAGGGGCGGGGTGCAGCGCGACAATCATCTCGTCCGTCAGGGTGGAAGGGGGCCACTGGGCTGCTGAGGGTGAACTGGGGGGATAGGGGGGGGCCGTGCCCTGCCGGGTGGGTGGAGAGGGGAGGGGGGGCGCGGCGAGGAAACGACGCATTCGAGGCGGAGGGGGCGTTGGGCTGCTGGGGGGCGCTGGGCCTCCGCAGCTGAAGTTCGCCAGGGTGGCCCGCTGGCTCTCGAGCAGCGGCAGCAGGTCGTCGTCGCCCATGCAGCCTCTCTGGGGGCTGGGGGAGGGGGCGGGCGCCGACGCTCGGGCGAGGGGGCGGAAGTCCGTCAGCGAGGCAGCAAGTGGCCTCCTCCTCCTCCTCCTCCTCTCCTCCTCCTCCTCCTCCTCCTCCTCCTCCTCCTCCTCCTCCTCCTCCTCCTCCTCCTCCTCCTCCTCCTCCTCCTCCTCCTCCTCCTCCTCCTCCTCTTCCACAGTATGCGGCCCCAGCGGGCCCACAACATCTGGCTGTGTCAAGCTTGCGGTTGATACCTCCATGCGTGAGCTAGCGAAACCACGCACGCACACACACACACACACACACACACACACACACACACACACACACACTTGGAAGCGTAGAAAAACTCCGAAGGGATAGGTGGTTCCCCTTGAGGTCCTCTTGAGGTCTTATCGGCACCCTTCCAACTGCACCCCATTTCCATTGACACGGCGTTCAACCTCAGAACACGGTATTTCCAACATAAAGATGCATGAAAACTCTGCGAACCCACGACGTGAGCGTCGTCTTCACGGTTTGAGCGTTAGCCTAAGCCCGCAAAGCTTGTCGCGCAAACAAAAACAACTGCGCGTGCATGAACATGCGTGGTGTGCGAGAACGAGGCTTCAAAGACTGAGCACGTGGTAGCCCCTTTTTTCCTGGGCCCGCATGCGCAGACATAATATTTTCTCAAAACGGTCCCCCTAAACAACCGAAGAGAAATCCCATAGCCTTGCAGTATACTGATGCTGAGACAAAGAGCACACGCACACACACACACACACACACACACACACACAC